TATATATCCGCAGTTCTTTGTGATAACTGACCGTCGCGGCTTCGAACGTCAAAGAACAAGCGCTATCCGATTCGCCTTTGTCTCGGGTCGATGACCCGAGCCTTATCGGAAGATGCATCACTGGTGACTTAAAGCATATCCCTCTATTATTTACTTATCGGAAGACTTGAGCGCTTGATCAAAGGCCCGAAGCGGGCCCACTATATTTACGTCGCAACATACTCCCCCCGTTGAGAGGGTACTGATCAATCGTAATGTACATCTAATCGCCCTACATCGGTAAGACGGTTTACCATTAGATGTTTACAGTTGAATATTCGCTTAAATTTACATTATTGATCGAAGGGAAGTGGACATAGACACTTCACGGTTCGCTTTAATGTTCCGGTTGCCGTTTTCACGGAAACGACTCGCACCACTCCATCTTGACCTGGATGGATTTCTTCGATTTTCCCTAGCGCCCATTGACCGCAGGGAAGGCCCTTTTCCTTGATAAGGACGATCGTTCCGACGTTGATTTTTCCTCCGTCTTTAGTCCATTTAGTACGGACTTGGAGCTCGTTGACGTATTCCAGGTTCCAGCGAGTCTAGAAATCTTGCCGCACCTTCATGGTATGCTTCCAGGTGGACAGACGGTTGGCTGGGACAGACGAGAGATCAGGCTCGGGCATGTTAATCAGTGGTCTGCCGATTAAGCAATGTGCAGGTGTAAGGACAGACAGAACATTGGGATCGGATGAGAGAGCGCAGATGGGTCTGGAATTTAATATTCCTTCAACTTCTATAGTAAAGGTATTCAGTTCCTCAAATGTAAACAAGAGCTCACCGACGACACGTTTAAAATGATGTTTAAATAGTTTTACAGTGGATTCCCATAGTCCACCGAAATGTGGAGCTATGGGAGGTATAAAATGCCACGTGATGTGATGTTCAACCGAGAATCGATTCGTACGATTCCTGTGTTCATCGGAGTTGAATAGAACATATAATTCTCTCAGGTGATTATTCGCACCTGCAAAGTTAGTTCCATTGTCCGAATAGACGCGTGTCGGTATCCCTCGTCTCGCTATAAAGCGACGCAAGGCTGCTAAAAAACCATCGGTGGTCATGTCGCTTACGATTTCTAAATGTACTGCCTTTAAGGTGCATATTCATGGGACGCTGAAAGCCAGCGTTGAATGTCGTCACGTGATATCACTCTGACATTAGCGCCAAGAGAAAGAAGTTGGATTTTTCCAACTTCTAGCGTCAAGCAGCGTCAAGCAATAGTATAAAAAATAAAAGATGAATATGGAAGTAAGTGAAACATTGTTTTCATTACTAGTATATAATAAACTGTTAGAGCCCGCGTTGTCTCTATTAATTATTACCAAACCGAGACTGCTGGTAGCGATACAGCGACATCTACACTGTATTTTCATTTTCTCGAAGCTCTTCGCGACTGCTCCCTTCACTCGCTTCTATGTATGTTTTACTACTCTGTGTTCTCACCGCGATCGTGCAACGCACCGGTGTTCTTTACTCTGTATGACTTTTTCGCTTTTCTTTTTGTGTTCGCGCTTATAATAAAGATTCCGCTTTTCGCAAGCGAAGTGACTGTTCTCGTCATTGTGTGCGTTCCTACCGGACACCACCGATCTACCTCCTCCAACAGGTTATGGGCCCAGAGGCACACGCTTAACGCACTCTTGTCCGTACCGGCCATACGCTTTTCGCAATAACCTATACATCGCGAGTGGTGATCGAGTGAGCTGAAACACGATGAGCTCTGCAAACGTGACACGTTTCGAGCCCCTCAACCGCGAAAATTATGACACCTGGAGGATTCACATGGAGGCCCTTCTCATCAAAAATGACGAGTGGGATTTCGTGAGTGGTGTGAGCGTTAAACCCGAGCCGATCGCCGGAAGTGACGCAAACGCGGCCGCTATCTCCGCCTGGACGAAAGCCAAATCGGACATTATTCTCTCCATCGGCGCTTCAGAACTGAAGCAAATCAAAGGGTGCAATACATCGCGAGAGGTTTGGTTAAAGCTTGAATCGATCTATCAGTCCAAAGGGCCAGCGCGAAAAGCCACACTTCTGAAGCAACTTATGCTACACCGCATGGAAGAAGGCAGCGATGTACGTGAACATGTCGGCCGTTTCTTTGACGCTGTCAGTAGGGTATAGAGGCCGGTTCTAACTCGGGAGCTCCGAGGGGGGAGCGGGGCGGGGGGGTACCCCGCGGCGAGGGGACAGCGGGGAGGGGGGTACTCCGCGGCGAGGGGACCGCGGGGAGAAGGGGAGCACGTGGTCTTGACA